CATAAAATAAAATCTGGTTAAGTGCTTCTATTAGCTTTTCTCTTTATATAAACAGAATAGTCGTGGTCGTCCAGTTGTTGCATTTGAAATGAGTAGTGAATGAAACAAGCGGAAAAAAACTCAAGAACTGAGAAATAATACGCCTGCAAATGTTTTAAGTCACGCGACGCAGATGAGCTTAAGAGCATCGGGACAAACTGAAGCAGCAAAATTACTAAAGGAATTAACTACATCCACCCCCACACGTGGAAGTAGATATAGAAAAGTATTTAAGGAGTCAAAAGCACCTAAAAAACTCTCGGGTGAAGATGCTTTAGCTATTATAGTAGATGCTAAACTATCACATCAGTAAAATATCTCTTCAATACATTAATGATAGTAATGATGATGATGATGACGACGATGATAATTATAATAACGAAGATGACGATGATGATGATGTCAATGATGACGAACACCAAGACTAATTTTACTTTACACTTTAAATAATACATTTTTCTTATTTTGTTAATAAATTGAATAGCTATTTCTGTAAAAATTACTTTAAAATAAATAAATACCTTATGTTAATATAATGTAAATGACTTTTATATGTCTGATAAACAATAATAAAAAATAATATTAATTTTGGGAAAACATTTTTTTGCCCCGTGATTTAATGCCAACTTTGAGAGCTCGTTGCCCCACTGTGCGCCGGGACGGCGACCGCACTTTACTCTTCTACCGCGACGGGCGTTTCCTGCACCGGCGTTCGACGGAAAGAAATCGAAAGACGGCGCGGGAGACCGTTCGCCGCCGCCGCCGCCGCCGCACCGGCCGGTCGTTTAACCGCCGCCACCCCTCGCGCCGTCGCATACACAATAATATACATAATAATACAATAATATCATACGCACGCTCGGCCGTCACACGCGTCCACCCGCGCGTCATCTGTGCGACCGACCGCGGCGTCCGCGGACATCGTTTCCGCGCGCCGGAAAACTGATAATTGAGCCGCCGGTACACCTTAATTATTTCGCGTCGCGTTTACTCGAGTAGCCCGCGGTCATCGCGTTGTAATAATCGTATCCGTTACACGACGGGCCATCGTATAATATTATTATTATAACCACCGTCGACGGGTTCTCCGAGTGTTAATTAATAATGCCGCCGCGCCGATTCTGCAATAATACGGTTTCGGATTATTTTAATCGGCGCGCGTATTTAGCTAATCGGCGCCAACGTTAATGATTTGACCGCAACCGTAAATAGAATATAATCGGTAATAATGTGACAACACTCGCGTTGATGCTCCGCGGGTGCTTTATCCCAGCCTCGATTCGAGTCGACTGTTGTGCACAAGTGTACCGTCAATAACTCTGTACGTTTCAGATTCCGAGTGGAACGATAAGAATGCTTATGGTTTTACAATGATGTTTATTGTTATTATTATTTTTTTTTTTTTTCGGAATCTTCTTCCGATTAACAAGCACATTTTCTGAAGGGAAATTCGACTTGGGTGGTATTTTAAGGTAGTCGTTTTTTGTTTTCTCGGGAATTTTCTCAATAAATGGGAAACACCGGGAAAAAGTATGGGAAAACCAGGAAAATAGGTACGATATTAAACAAATATTTTAAAGAAAATGTTCAATGCATGTGTAATTGTTTTATCATAATAAATTGTCGACAACGCAACACTATCAACTAAACTCTGCTCAGAATCGTTTTGGTCAATAGTTAATCGTTGCTTATAAATACATTCCCGTATGCATCCTATCTTCCCAATTCCTCATCTACAGCAGTCACTACACTCGTTTTAATTTTTTTTTTCTATTACTATAATTATTTAAAACGAGATTTACATTACAATGTAGACGTTATATTTTAACAGGATTAACAAAACGAGTTTCCGCCAGCCAACCGATTGTCGTTACAATATTTCATTTTTCTTTTTCTTTATTTGTGTAATTGATCTGAAATCGATACGAGTACCACGGTTTAATTACATTTTAGTTTGTTTACAGGGGTATTTAAAGCCAGCGGCGTTTTCCGTGAAAACGTGTAATTTGAGCATAAAAGTGGTTGAAAGTTGAAACCTCAAAATGTACATCCTTGATAATTACACCAAGCGCATATAAAATTACATTCCTCTGTCTCGGTTCGGAGGGGTCTGCAGGGGTGTACAAAGCTAAAAAACACCCTCCTCTCCCAACAACATGGTGAAATTTAGATTGAAATTCAACCAAAATGTTATCATTTGAATTCGCCTATGAAATAACTGTAGTATAGTGCCTATACCGAATAACAATTACGTACAAAGTTTTTATAAAATTTCAAAAATGGTTTAAATGTTTTACAAATTTGACCATATCGAGAAAAAGCAAATATACAATTTCAGTTCAAATTTTAAGTATCTACAAATATGTTTAACTGAATTACAACAAATAACAAAATTTAAAATAATAAAAGGATTATTTTCTTAAATTTCCTGTTTTTTTTTTTTTTTTTTTATACTTTGTTCCGGCTTTTTCCAGATATTATGAAAACCAGAAAATCAAATGACCCCCTTGTAATACCATCTAGATTCTAGAAAATATTTTCTTTCAGAAATGGTGTGATACTTACATATTGGAGCAAGATTTCTGGTAGAAGTTGTTGTCACAGTATAAAAAAAATTAAAAATAATAAACATCTGTAAAACTAATACATTTTTCGCTACTTTCAGAATCAAAAATAACTACTGTAGATTTCCGCGTTGTTATGCCATCAT